ACTAAAAGCTAAAAATCCTGTTTCACCTGGAAACCATGTGGATGACTACCATGCTGGTTTTCAATGAAGAGGAAGTCCTTTAACAAAAGGTGAGTGGAAGTGAATGATGAATGCACCCTTCAGCACAGCAGCTGAATCAAAAAGCAATTCCTGAAATCCTTGTGAGGTAGAATATTTTGGCAGGAAAAATGTTGCCTACGTGACTTCAGCTGGGAACTGAGTCTTTCTACATGTTACTCTCAGCTTAAAAAAGATATCCACTGTTTATCAGACACTCTACAGATAATGTAGAAAGCTTTTGAGTGGAATGACTATTGTATTTATCTATTCTCTCCCCCTGAATTCAGCAGATTGCTCTAGCTTTTATGAACAAACAAACAAAAAAATGCAGCCTCTCTCTCATCTGCTTGGACTGCTGCAATTAATGAGCTAAGACAAGCATTGCCACAACTGCAATTCATTATTATCGTTTCAGTCTGTGTTCAAATTATATTTAAAATAGTTGCCAAAGTATTGTTGGGAGAGTAAAAAAAGATTGCTCAACACACCCCTGTTCTACAAATTTCCTTCTGTATAGAAACATCACTTTCCATACAGGCATGTAAAGAATTTTACTTTCTTTCATACTAGACTGCAGCTGGTACTAGATCATTATTATTACTGTATTAGATACATGAGCAAACAAGATCAATAGTGAATAATAATTTTTTTTCTGAAATAACCTCTCACTTTTGCCTGAAACAAAACAAAATGGAAACAAAAAAGCCCAATCTGTAACAAAATATTTTTATTTTTATATGACTGTAAAATTAGTCAACACTTTGTTTATTTGGTTAGGTCCACTGCTCTAGAAGACAGCACAGGCATCAGATTTTGTATGTAACTCTCACAAGAATTCAAAGGAAGTCTTTTTTGACTTACTATAGACCTAACTACAGTGGGTCTGGCAAAACTTACTTTAAAGTGTAAATTAATTCCATCCCAAGGGTCTAAGTTTTGCAGCCCTTTCTCATGTTAGAAAGCCAACCATGAGTAATTCAGCAAAAACTGGGTTTTTTTTGGTTTTATTTTCCAAAACAATAACATACTAACCATCTAAATTTCTACTTAGGCTTCTAAACAACTAAAATTTTATGTCTTACAACTATCACAAATTTTATAAATCCAGCCTTTAGACTGTTAGTCTATTTGAGTAAAATAAAATCAGTGAAAAGTATTGCATATTTATTGAATAGTGTGCAGCTTCATACATTCCATCAGAAATCCCAAAAGTATGTCAGGAAAGTCTTTCAGTGATTTCTGGCTTGTGCTGCAGATCAGCAATCCTTGGGTTGTCTGAACAACATGGTTCTTTAAAAAAGCTGGTTTAAATTCTCTCCAGGAAGAGCTGATCCTTATTTGGATATCAATGTAAAAGACTCAGAGCTATGCATTCTCTCTAAAACTGTGTAGGAATGTCTCAGCGGTGAAGACAGGAATGCAGTTAATGAAGTAAGAGAAAAACACACTGCCAGAAGGACCCTTTGGTGCTCCGTCCTGTCTTTCCCTGTTGCCTCACCCTGTCAATCATGTCTGAGAAGAAGACAGCACAAGCTGTTTCTTGCACACATGTACAAGCCTCATAACTGATGGTTTTGAGGCAACTCTTATAGAAAGTCACAGTGGAAGAGGACACTTCATTACTGAAGTCTCTTGTGTTACTTTATAGTAAGAGAAGGAAGTTCCATGTTAACCTGACACAGATGAGTAATCGTCTTGATACCATTTCCCAGATGAATAATCTTCTCAGAAAAAAATGCTAAACATCATCAGTTGTGGTTCGGACAGAGCAGTCGGGATGAGTCAGGCTGTAGGAGCACCTCAAGCTTCAGAGAAGCCGGAAATCTGCCGCTGATTAAAGGTAGAAGCCTCCTCCAAAACACACTAGAAAAAAAGCTACTAGCTTGTTTGCAAAAGCCTGTCCATCATTAAGGTCAGACAGCCCTTGCAGTGCTTTTTACCCACATGGTTATATCAGCACCTGAAAAAGACTTGTGTCTCGCTGATACAGTCACGCCAAACATCCTCCTTGTATGAACACAGGTTATGTTGACAGAGGAGGGTGGCTGGCAAGCTGTATCATTTGGAGATGAGGTCTAGTTACGCTGACAGTAAACCCATTTTGTTGACATGTTAGGTTTGACCTAAGGCACTCTGCTACCACCACACCAATCCCACAGAAGTGCTGTAGTATAGACTGCAATGTAATGTCATCCTGTGTACAATACAGTTCCCCTGCTTTAATACGAGTTCAGAAACAAGTATGGACTCATCTCCTCAAAATGGTTAGCTCATTTTCCTAGGATTTAATAATACTGATCCATTTCTGTAAGGAAACTCCTTATTATATTGCCTATATTTACCATGAAGGTGATGTGCATAATTCTTATGCAGATTATGTATTTAAGAAAAATGTGACAAAATTTTCTTATGACGCTTTTTCATAGTCACTGGTTTTAGTCTAGTATAGCATAGCCTTACAAATTATTTTCCTCTTTAGTCAGGAAAAAATCACTGTCAGCAAGCAAGTTGCTTAATGTTGTTTACAACATCTCTTCCTAAGGTCAAAATTAACATATGTAATAATCATTTTAAGGAGTGACACTGTGATGCACCAAGCATGAAAGAGGGCAGGAGTAAGTCCACTAATCCTTATCCTTTTATATCTCCAAATACTCAAGTAGAATCTAGGTTTCAACTGGCTCAGCCTCCATGAATTTCTGGGCTAGTATATACAAAGAAATATATATATCAAATGGGTTCTTTCATCAGGTGAACGAGTGCAGAAACACTTTGGAGGACCTTGTAGGAGTTGGTTTCTTACTGCACCGAGTGTTCAGGTATCCCACAGAAATCAGTGCCTGAACTTAAGCACTGAAGTTTGGTGCTTAGTTAGCTGGTATGAATACTCCCACCTCCAATATTTCGTTTGTTTTCCCACAGAAGTTTGCTGAAATTCCCATAGATTTTGCTTAGAGATGTACTGGGTAATGTGATTTGCTGAAAAACTTGTTTATTCTTTACAGGTTTCTAGTTTTCATGTGTAACTTTTTCCTGTATCCTTTGAATATTCTCATAAGACCACACATCTCCACTACTACATAACAAAGAGGCCTGTTTAATATAACTGTATTTTTGTAAGTTGTTTAGCAGAAGTATGTTAGCCTGTTTACAGTGTTTGCCTACTGTAAGCATGTTTTAAATACCTGACTTTATCTTAGAAGTCCTTTAAACTTTTCTATGCATCTGCAGACAGAACACTGTCTTTTAGATTTAATTGCTGTTTCCTGAAGCAACCAACACGTATCACTGTATCAACTGTTATGGTTGTTGCTGTTGAGGTTGTGCTGATCAACTAAACTTTTCAGCTGCCAAATTTGACAGTGACACATCCATAACACCCTCTTTATGACATACAAGCACTACAAACACACCAGAGAGCCAATATGCTATGTGCTCAACCTTTTTCCAAAGCTGGGAAAAGTCATACATAATTTGTCCTCCACAGCTGCATTCAAAGGAGGCATGCCTCTTAAAATGGCATTTTACAAAGCAGCACCACCAGCTAAGACAGGTGTTAGAAAGGGACTGGATCGCACGCAGCTAGCCAGCTAGGCACAAAAAGCAGGGCAACTAGCAGGAAACAGCCTTTCTTCATGGCATTTCAAGACCTTGTGGCAAATCTGAGCTAGTATTCACAATAGAGCTAACCCTGTTCTTGTGGTTTCCCTTACACTGGATACATTGGTAGCTAAGGAGCTGCAGTTCAAAAAGATCAGGGAGTGTCTTAGGCAAGTCAGGCTCCAGCCCGGCTACATACAAAAGCAAAAAACATGGAATCTCCCTCTGAAAGGGACAAAGGGAGAGAAGTAACTAATTTTCCTCTTCCTTGAGCACAGAGTCATCCTAGACTGTAAACTGCAGGATGAAATGCCTAGTGATAACTCTATTATGGCAACAAATTATATGTTTTATCTAAATAAACGAGAGACATTGTAAAAAGACATTGTCCTTCCCTTCCCCACCCTTTTCAGTCCACTTCTATTGCACACGTTTACATGTACGTTTCAGCCACTGAAGTGTTTATGGATGCACTCAAGCTAGAGCCTGTCCTACTGATTTAAAGCCCACAGAGTCATGCAGAACCCAATTTATTTCAGGGAAAAAAAAAAAGGGGGGAGGGTGAGTACTTCCTATTAATACTTCTGAAACATTGTCACATCTGTTTAAAGAGCTAACATGGCCCAGGGACAAACAGATATACATGCTAATACATTTTTGCATGTTTGGTTTTGGTTTTTTTTGCCTTTTAAATTGACACTGGAAAGCAAAAGGTGGTTTGTACATACACTGCCTTATCGCTAAGGTGTAAGCTGGGTGTGCCTTAGGAAACTCAAGATGCAGTGACCCTAAGTGTAGACAAGTACACTTAGACAAGTGTCCACATTTCTTATAATTAGTCATTAGTCAGAAATGAAGGTAAGGTACACATGCAGAATCTATTTCCTTGTTGCTTAATTATTATTTTTTTTTTTCTGAGCTCTCTTTAACACTTTCTGACTGATTTCTGCAAGGAAAGCTCCCTATGATGCAAGAGAAACCTTAGGATATATCCTGAAGTTGGACAGAATAGTATCACTTGATGTATATTCAACTAACGTCAAAGAAAAGCTGTGCTAATTAGCTATGAATTTCTCATGGACTGGTCAACATTACAGTAAAATGGAAATTACGCTTCATTAATCCCTCCCATTAATCCCTCATCCTTGAAAATTAGGTTAAAAACACTGATGCATCTGGTATCAACAGACCCACCTCAGTAGGCAAAAACCTTTGTGTTTGAACTGTTAGCAGTCAGATTTTTTTTTCTGAGAGAGGGGAAAAAAAAACCCTGTAGTAAAACACAACTAGATTATTATTGACACTTCCCTCCCTCCCCCAATAACATTTTTCATGTTTACCTTTCTTGCATCTCTTATCATCTTCCGAATAGTTTCCTTTATGGTGTAAGGCTGAGCTCGCGGTGGATGGAAAAGCAGATCAATATTTGTGCCACCAGAAATTCCAGGCATTAGGTAGGGCCAACCTAAGTCAAGATTTGGAGCTTCCACATCTGATTCAATGGGCCAGTAGGTTCCCGAGGAAGAGGTGTCATCAATAGCATGGTTAGAGGAATAAACTGTGTTTTGGGGAAGTTTGTGAACATTATTCAAAATATAATCAATTTCCTCATCTGCTAGGAACTCTGAGCATCTCTCTTTGGAAAGAAATTCTTTGTAGGCTTCCAAACCTCCTTCAATCAGAGCATCAATAGCTACTCGGTACCATTCCTTGTAATGAGGTTCAATATAGTTGTCTGATCTGCATTCATCATGTAAGGACGATAGCAAAGATGAAGTTTCCATTTTCACATATATTTTGTATGAAGTCTTTTAAACATCCGTTCATGAGCTGATGAAATTTATCTGTAAAGAGAAAAAAGAAAACAATCTGAATATTTGTAGAGATGTATGATGCACACAGATACTATTCAAAATGCTTTTCTGGTAATGTTGCTCCAAGTATTTCTAGCACCTTCCAAGAAATTTAAAACGTTTTGAAAAGGCTCAGGGATTAATATTGCCAAATGAATATTAAAGATCTAGATAAAGAGCTGTTTCTGCATAAGGCAAAACAAAACATAATTAAAAGTGATTTGATGTTCTTACGTTAAAAGCTACAGCAGAGCAAGTAACACACTGAAGATCTGTACCACTAACACCAATACATACCTAATGCATGGTCCAATATGCTACCATAGGTTATGCTTCAAAACTCTTTATAACAACTGACAGAGTGGTGTTCAAATAAACACTTCAGAAACCAATTACATTTCCTACTTTTTGATGCATTACTTTTTCTCTGCAATGCATTCCTGTTTTCTGTCATCTTTGAAACCATAGTCATTCAGGTCCTTCACCTTATCATCTGTTCTCCCATGCTGATCTAATCCATTTGTTCCTCCCAAGCAGAACCAGCCTACCTCATTTCAGTGAGTTATGAGGAACTCCAGAAAGATTTATCCTCCCACATCTGGGATCAACCTCTGAATCAGCAATCTCATGTCTAGTTTCCACCCTGCTTATTCCTTCTGCCAAAAGGAGCGGCTGCTTTAATCTTACCTTATTTCTTTTTTTTTCCAAAACATTAAGTAAATTGTCTACTGACAAACTTATAAATCCATTCTTACTATTTTTTAAATTTCATTTAACAAGGACTGATAGGGTTGGTTCATGCTGCAACAATTTGGGATTTAAGATACAGAGAGGACAAATGGCCAGCTTCTCTTCCTTCATGTTTGTGCAACCTCATGGGACTTATCTAACACCTAAACTACAATGAATTTCTGCACTGGACAGGTAAGCCACAAAAGAACCCCACAAAGGCGTGGGGGAGGAGGGGAGGCTTCATGAGCGTGGCATGTGCCTGGCCATGTACAATAGAAAGATGATACATGGTAGTAGTGTTTAATCTTTCAGGACTAGAGCATGAAGCTTAGGAGAATGCAGAAGTAGGAAGAAGTCCAACAAAGACAGAATAATTACAAAAAGCATACATGACTTATGGCTTGCAAGTTAACACTGGGTTTCCCTACAAGCCTAGTTACTGGAATAGCAGTGTAATGGCAAGCAATAATCATTCAGAGTTCTGATTTAGTTTACTGGCATGTAAACGCAACACAATTCTCTCTTCACATCAAGAACTTTCAGAAATTTTGTGAACAGTGCATTTACTTTCCACTGTCTGCTGGGAAGAGTTTAAATCTTCTTGAAAGGAAACACAAATTAGCCACATTAACCTAAAGGAATGAAAAGCAAAATCTCCATATGCTACTGATAATCCAAAATTCAATTATGTGTTCAATTAAACCAAGATTTCTGAGGAACTTGGGAACTCTGAGGTTAAAAAAAGACCAAGAAAGAAAAATCCAGATCTGAGGCTGGCATCAGCATGTCATATGAAATAATTCCATTTGAATCCTGTCTCTCAGCCAAGTAGCAGGGTAGATCTTCCCAGATAGGACTGCTTTCGAGCCTGAGGGAAAGGAGTGTTTCTGGCTGCTTCCAGAGTAGCTCTTTGTGGCAGACTGGAAAGCACAGAGCAAAAAGGGATCCAACTGCTCTCCCCTGGTTGAGAATTACATGTATTCCTGTGACAGATATTCAGGGCTTCATTCTACACTGCTCTCACAGGTGGAAATAGAACATTATAAAATAAGGGTGATACCATTTTACTTTGGCCAAATGCAGATACAGCCTGTGGTGTAATACGACAGAGAACTGAGCACACAGTACAGACAAGACAGACAGATGCAAAGGTCAAAGTCTTATAATGTTGTAAAATTAAAGCATTCATCAGTGTCCCATGGAAGCCAATCATCTGGAAAAGGTTTTCAAGACATTTCAGATGAAGAATGAAAACCATCAAGACTAAAAATGCAGTTACTCAGCAGAGCTGTTCCTAAGAATCTGAACACTAACACAGGTGACTTTACTGAGAACCTAATAGACCCCTCTTGTAGGGCTCTCCAGGACAAGTCAGTCTCAAAACAGTGTAATAAAACAATAAATCTTATTGTGACATTTAAGACTAAATCTGATTTTACAAAGGCAAATGAAAGATATTTCTAAAATCCTTACTACTTTGGAATGATGTGTTTCTAAAATAAGAATTTTGCCACTGATTGCATACATACAGTTGAGAAAGACTTAAGTGTTTACTTCAAAAACTTGTCTAAATCCCCTTTTTCTTCTCCTCACTCTTTCCTTTGAAAATAATATAGGGGAACAAGACTATACTTAATATGTAAAGTTGTTCAATATAAAATATTGAATGTTATGAACAAATAAAAGTCAGCATTAGTATAGTATATTGTTTGACATTTCATTGAAAACAATGAATTAATTAAATGTGGCATAGGTCAAATACAGTAACTTATGCTCAGACTTATGCTGAAAGCAAGGTATAAATATACTGTAAACTTCAAAAGGTGAGACGTCTAGTGTAGTCTTCCAAACAAGAACAGTTATTTTGCAGTGAACATCTTTGATGTTGATCTTTTGATTTGTAAGTGCTGTTTACAAAAGAAGCTTCAAGCAGTGCACACTTATTTAAGAAAGTAAATGTAAAATCTTGTCAGCACAGAAATAAATCACAGAACAGATGAGATTCTAATTCTGTTTTTTGTCATTAAAGACATCAGCATGCCGTACATTCATGAGAAGAAACAAAAGAAAACTCCCAAATAAAAATGGCAGCTTCAGGTATATTTAACAAAAGTTCTAGACGTCTTGACACAGGTATTTTCCTTCTTAGAACATAAGAACTATGTTGTAGAAAATGTACCTATGGAACCAATACAATTTTGAACAGAGTGGCAGGGGTTGACAAAATTCTGAAATAAACATTTTGGTGTCTTCTTCAACTTTGTATAATGATTCTGCATAATGAACTTGATTCTACTCCTGAGGTCAACAATTCTATAAGCAGAATGAGGCACATCTCTGGAGACGTCCAGCGCTTTAGCAGGCTTCATATACATGATTACAAATTTTACTAGCATCAGGAAAGCTGCTCTTCATCCTCTGACAAATAACTTTGACTGTTAATCCCAGCCCAGAGTATCAACTATATTCTCTGCTTGGACTTAAAACTTTTTTACTGAGTGCCATTAATGGGTTTAAATAGAATTTAAACTCCAATGCAGCTGATAAAACCGAATCTTTCTGCTGCAGAACACAAATTCTGAATCCTGCACTGATGTGATCATCTTGTCCTTCTATTAACAACACACTCAGACCTTTCTAGTGCCATTATCAAGAACCCAGCAAGAAGAGAACTTTTCTTTGAAAGAAAGGTCCATGTGCCTTTCTACAGCAAGATCCCAGCTTTCACAAAAGCAGCAGATGACAACTGCCCACTGAAGAAAATGATGCAACATTCTGTGGTGGTTCCAGGAGCACAGCCCTCCAGGCTAGAGCTAGAGACAGGCAACTTCCCTGACTTACTAATATTCACAGGATTTGAAAAACTTCCCATTCAGCAACTTCGGGCTCTAACCCCAGGCTCGCACAGCCGGTCTTTGGCAAGGCCCTGGCCATGGTGCTCTCCTTGGGATATCCTAACTTTTCCAAAGGGATTGTGATTCCCTTGACAGTTTCTGCATAAAGTTTCAAGTGGTAAATTAAACCATGGGGACGTCTTGTCACAGTCCCTTCTCTCAGGCATGGCTTTTGGGGACATCCACCTGAGGAGGTCTGACCCACGGCTCTGCTGAGGAGTCTTCCCACCGCTCAAGGGCCTCGTGTGACCGAACAAACAAGTGTTTTATGACAGCCGCCTATCACCAACCTTCGTACGAAGGAATTGTATCAAGAATAAATAATAATTACCTATAGTAAGCAGTGACGGGCAATTATTTCATTATAAACGGAACTACACTATTTTCCGTGGATGCAAAGGGCATCAGATTCAAGTGAAAAACAACGCCCCAAGCGCTCCTGCTTCTTTTTCTTTACTGTCCAGAAAGTTAACTTTCCGAGCAAAGCGGAGGCAACCAGCCCCGCGCTGGCTTCGCCGCGGGCACGTCTTACCCTGAGGACCGCATGCCCGTGGTACCCCCGCCGGGCCCTTCCCCTTCTCCCGTCAGCGCCCCACGCCGCTCGGCGCCGGCTCGCCTCAGGTGCCCGCGGCCGGAGCCGCGCCGCCGCACCCTCAACTTCGCGATCCCCGCGCCCCTGTTTCAAACGCCCCGCGGCCTCGAGCAGGCCGCTGGAGGGGCGGAGAGAGAGGGGCGGCCGCCCCACACGCCCGCCTGCAGCCGGGTCAGACCGTGCCCGTGCCGCTGCCTCTTCCCGTCCAGGAGGAGGCGGAGGGCAGACCCACTTACCGCGCCGGTGCCCCGCTGTGGGGTCTCGCCTCCGGAGCGGCGGGGCGGTTCGACCCGGCTGCTGCGATCGCGGCGGCGGCGAGTCAAGGCGGCGCTGGGCTCATCGCAGGTACTTCCCGTCGCTCTCAGGCGCGGTGGGTGTGGAAACCAGTTACAACATGTCAGGACGGTGTCGCACCAAACCCGCCGCCGCTGGAGCGGGGCAAGGGCTTGTCTGAACTGGGGAAGCCCGGCCCTCGCGCGGAGCGAAGGGCAGCGCCTTCCCAGCGCCGCGGCGCGGCCCCCCGCCCCATTCCACCCCACCCCATCCCATCCCGGCCCATCCCTGCCCTCCGGGCCGGACGCAGGCGCCCGCGGTCCCGCGGGGCAGGGTCTGTCCCTGGCCGGCAACACGGGAAGCCCCGGAGGGTCCCTGGGAGCGGGGTGCTTGTGTGCGTGGGGGATAAAGCTGAAACAAACGTTGGCTTGGATTACAATATAAACCCGTCAACCTGGAGTCACGGTTTCCAGGTTAACTCCCTGGGAGCAAGTCACGGCAAGGGAGCGGTGCACGTTTGAGACCTTTAAATCGGGTTATGTGGGTGAGCCCCCTTTCCACAGCTCAGTTGCTTTAAAATGATCTTTTGCTCGTTTTTTCTTCAAGTTGGAGAAACGAACCTGAAGGCAGAACCCCCCCATCCAGGCTGCAGTGCCAGCATCATCTTCCTCAGCTGCCCAAAGGCTGGAGATGCCAATTTGGCAATCCTATGTTGGGAAACCCTTGAGAGCTTTTCTGAAGGCGCTTCCAGAACACAGTCATCTTTGTAGTAGGATCATGCAACTGCCAACACATCAGTATGTCACATACATGCATGACTTAAGCACACCGAGGTGTAAGAACACGAGTTTTCTTTGTCATTTTAAATTAATGGCAACAGATGGAAACTTTTTATAGGTTTTGCCCATAACCTGTAGTGTTTTGTCACCCTGTAGTGAATAACTTCAGGCAGTTTTTTCACGAGCCATTTAAGACAGTGCAGTGTAACCCTGACAATTAGACTTTATTGGCAATAGTTTGTCTGGTCTAGGTTTAAGCACTAACTTTTTTTCTAACCTTTACTGCCGGATAGCAAGTGCAGGTTATATCCTATTCTGAAGGTAATAATGGTTCTACTGTGACTTTTTGAAGAGGATTCTTTGAGGGAAAAAAAAAAAAAAGTAATATCTATGCAACAATATATAGATGTATAAATCTTGTAGCCACCAGGCAACACTTTTTCTGTACAGTTAATTCAGGTAGTGGAGTGCAAAAGAAGAAATAGTTGATGTCAGTATACTCATGGACTACTCTCTGCAGACCTAAGATCACCTGGTTTATATGGTTAGAATCTTCTCACACCCAAAAAAGAATTTCCCTGGGTTTGATGAACCATGAAGAGGAAAAACTGCTGTAAAAACAAACACACTGTAAAAGTTTACTTAGTATTTTATAGTTAGTTAGAACGCAGCACTTTTTATTCCGTAAAATGTGTGGTCCGAAAGGAGAATGTGTTTCTGTGGAAACTTGTCCATCAAGAGGTGGGGCCATGTAAATTTTTAGAAGAACAGATCTATTTTCTATAATTATTTTTGAAAGGGTAGGAAGGCAGATGGGTGGTCACAAAAGCACTTTTAGCCTTGACTGAATCAGTTGGACTTTCATTACATAAAATTTACAAGTACTACTGGGTCTTTCTTTTAGAGAAGTCCGTGGTTGAGTACCAGGTTAGCACAAACAAAAAGGTATAATGAGATCAGTAACAGCTGTCTAAATAAGGAAATCTTCATGGGAAAGGGACCTAGAGTTTTTTTTCTGCATTAGTATCTGTGCAATAAGTTGTTTGATCTGTGCCTTTACAGGGCTCAGCTCAGTGGGAAACCAATCAAATACTGAGATCTTCAGCAACACACATGCACACATGCAATACAAATGAACAATACAGTATAAAACACTGACAATCATATTGGTAGTAATAAGGCACTATTATTGCTGTTGTTACTGAAGAGAAAAATGCACTCTCTAAATAGCCAGTACACCATACCAACTTTAAAATTAATAGGTAAACAGAACGATGAGAAGAGATGTAGAAAACTTAAACAGATCTTTTTAAATACTGAGAAAGCCCTTGCATAAAATATATAAAGAGGGGATGGCAAATGATGCTGGAGATTCTTCCACACAGTTGGGGGTTGCCTGAGTTTATCAACTGAAGCCCTCCAGTAGCTATACCAGACCAGACATTTCATAAAACCTAGCTTGGATAACATGTTTTGGAAACCAGCTACCCGCAGCCATCTGTCAAAATAAAGTACATTTTTATTCAGCAGGTAATAAACTTCCAGGTCATAAACTTCCAGATCTTACAGCCACAAGAGGCAATGGAGGCAGATGGTATGAGCAAGCTCAACAAGCTGTAAAACAAATTCTTAAACAATAGATATAAAACTGGATTATAAAAGGATGAGGCAGGGATATACCGTTTAGTATCCTTACTCCTAGAGTTGTGGAGCTGCAGCAGTTTGAGGGGAATGGACTGCACAAACTGGCCAGGCTCTCATTTGCTTAAACAGCCCTTCCTTTTGCCGTTGGAAATGTAACACTGGGCAAGCCCAGCTGAAGCATCATAAAGATTGGAATAGTTTTATTGGAATCCCACCAATTCATGAAGCCTCAAAACTACAGAAGAGGAAAAAAAAAAAAGAAAAGGTTATTCTAGACCCAGCTTGTTCATGGGAAAAAAATAATTAACTCTGTATGTTTAATACTACCATGTTGAGAATGTAATCAGGAAGAACAATTATTGTCTTAAGTGACCTGAGTACTCAGATTATGGTGCTGTTGGATTGTCATCTCTGACTTCTATCAGCTCTCATTTGTCAGTTCTGAGACTTTTTAGTATTGACTTTGCCATGTACAGGTCTAGCAGAATGCAAGCAGAACACAAAAGATTGTTATCACATATACGGTGACACTAGTCAGGAAACATAGAATCATAGAATAGTTAGGGTTGGAAAGGACCTTAAGATCATCTAATTCCAACCCCCCCCACAATGGGTAGGGACACCTCACACGAAACCAAGGCACCCAAGCCTTCATCCAATCTGGCCTTGACCACTGCCAGGGATGGAGCATTCACAACCTCCCTGGGCAACCCATTCCAGTGCCTCACCACCCTAACAGGAAAGAATTTTCTCCTTATATCCAATCTAAACTTCCCCTGTTTAAGTATTAACCTGTTACCCCTTGTCCTATCACTACAGTCCCTAATGAAGAGTCCCTCTCCAGCACCCTTATAGGCCCCCTTCAGATACTGGAAGGCTGCTATGATGTCTCCACGCAGCCTTCTCTTCTCCAGCCTGAACAGCCCCAACTTTCTCAGCTTGTCTTCATACAGGAGGTGCTCCAGTCCCCTGATCATCCTCGTAGCCCTTCTCTGGACTTGTTCCAACATTTCCATGTCTTTTTTTATGTTGAGGACACCAGAACTGCACACAATACTCCAGGTGAGGCCCCACGAGAGGAGAGTAGAGGGGCAGGATCACCTCCTTCGACCTGCTGGTCACGCTCCTTTTGATGCACCCCAGGATACAGTTGGCTTTCTGGGTTGCAAGCGCACACTGCTGGCTCATGTTCCTTTTCTCGTCGACCAGCACCCCCAAGTCCTTCTCCACAGGGCTGCTCTGAATCTCTTATCTGCCCAACCTGTAGCTGTGGCTGGGATTGCTCTGATCCAGGTGTAGGACCTTGCACTTGGCATTGTTAAACTTCATAAGGTTGGCATCAGCCCACCTCACAAGCGTGTTGAGGTCCCTCTGGATGGCATTCCTTCCCTCCAGTGTATCAACCGAACCACACAGCTTGGTGTCATCGGCAAACTTGCTGAGGGTGCACTCAATCCCACTGTCCATGTCAGCGACGAAGATGTTAAACAAGACCGGTCCCAACACCAATCCCTGAGGGCCACCACTGGTTACTGGTCTCCAGCTGGACATTGAGCCATTGACCACAACTCTTTGCGTGCAGCCATCCAGTCAGTTCTTCATCCACCAAGTGGTCCATCCATCAAATTGATGTCTCTCCAATTTAGAGACAAGGATGTCGTGAGGGACAGTGTCGAGCGCTTTGCACAAGTCCAGGTAGATAACATCAACTGCTCTACCCCTGTCCATCAGTTCTGTAGCCCCATCATAGAAGGCCAGCAAATTGGTCAGGCAGGATTTCCCCTTAGTGAAGCCATGCTGGCTGTCACCAAGCACCTTGTTGTTTTTCATGTGCCTTAGCATGCCTTCCAGGAGAATGTGATCCAAGATTTTGCCAGGCCCAGAGGTGAGACTGACTGGTCTGTAATTCCCCAAGTCATCCATTTTCCCCCTCCTGAAAATGGGGTTTATATTTCCTTTTTTCCAGGTGATGTTGGGGACTTCACCTGACTGCCATGATTTTTCAAATATGATGGCCAGTGGCTTAGCAACTTCATTTGGCAGCTCCTTCAGGACCCGCGGATGGATCTCATCAGGTCCCATGGACTTGTGCACATTCAGGTTTTTAAGATGGTCTTGAACCAGATCCTCTCCTACAGTGGGCCCAAGGTCTTCATTTTCAGTCCCTGCATCTGCCTTCCAAGACTTGGGTGGTGCAGTTAGTGCCTTTGCCAGAGAGGGCCGAGGCAAAGAAGTCATTCAGAACCTCGGCCTTTTCAAAATCCTGTGTAGGCAGTTCTCCTGAGAGCTTCCTGAGGGGGCCTACGTTCTCCCTAGTCTGTTTTTTATTCGCGACGAACCTATAGAATCCGTTCCTGTTTTCCTTAGCATCCCTAGCCAAGTTTAATTCTAACTGGGCCTTATCTTTCCTAACCTGGTCCCTAGCTTCCCGGACAACATCCCTGTACTCTTCTCAGGCCACCTGTCCTTGCTTCCACCTTTTATAAGCCTCTTTTTTCATTTGAAGTTTCCTCAGGAGCTCCTTATCCATCCAAGGAGGTCTCCTGGCCCTTCTGCTGCACTTCCTTCTAGTTGGGATGCAACACTCCTGAGCTTGTAGCAGGTGATCCTTGAATATAAACCAACAGCCTTGGGCCCCCCTGCCCTCTAGGGCTGTATCCCATGGAACCTTACTAAGCAGGTTCCTGAAGAGGCCAAAGTCTGCTCTTTTGAAGTCCAGGGCAGTGAGCTTGCTGCACGCTTTTCTCACTATCCTTAGGATCTCAAATTCGAGCATCTCGTGATCACTGCATCCAAGGCTGCCCTGGAGAGTCACATTTCCAGCGAGCCCTTCCCTGTTG